TACACGAGATACTTGCGGAGTATCTAACGTCCTAACTTTAAAAGAAAAGGATCCCCAATCAGTGGAGAACCTCGCGAACAGTCCTTCTTCATAAGAAGGGCGATAGAGAGGATCTTCGGAACTACCGTCCAATATGCCTGCTGAGCGTGCTTTACAAGCTTTTTGAAAGATTTTCCTCGCCTGCAATCAAGGACAATTGACGAAGCCCATCCTGTAAAACAAGCTGGATTTTGCCAGTGATTCAGCTGCGTGGATCACATTCAGACAGTTTCGAGGATTATCGAGTTTTGCCGAGAGTACCGCTTACCTCTCGTCCTAACCTTCGTTGACTATGAGAAATCGTTTGACAGCGTCGAGACTAATGCCATACTGTCAGCGCTCGTCGACCAAGCGGCGGACCCATCTTACGTGAGGACATGCCGACTGCTACAGGAGCTGCTCTACTACGGTATAGCTTTTCCATGGTATAGCTTTTCCATCGTCTCCTTAACATACCAATCTCGAAGAAGGTTCGACAAGGCGACACCGTGTTGCCAAACTGTTTACTGCCGCATTGCAGTGGGTGATGAAATCACTGGATTGGAACGAGAGAGTATACGAGTTGATGGGAGATTCCTCTCGAACATTCGTTTTGCAAACGACATTTTTCTCTTCTCGAATGAAGCGGAGACGATGTTGAAGGAACTAAACGAAGTAGGGAAGCAGATAGGACTGCGAATCAACCGGAAGAAGACACAGTTCATGCAGAACGCTTTTGAAGGATCAGCAATGGAAGTAGAAGGCTAATCGCGGAGATGACTTCTTACGTATATCTCGGTCGTTCGATGAACATGGAGAACGATCTGAAAGAAGAACTAAACAGGAGGCAAAGAGCAGTTTGGACCGCCTTCGGGCCCCTTAAGCAAGCCGCTGACCAGCAGACGGACCCAGAGCTCCAAGCCCACTTGTTCGATTCAACTTTTCTCCCCGCGCTCTGCTATGCAGCAGAGACGTGGCCTGACACTGTGGCTACGTCAAAAGCTCTTGGAACAACCCACAGAGCGCTGGAACGACGTCTTCTGAAGTACAACCGACGTACTCAACATCTTATCGGACCTCGCAGTTCAGATATGAGATCTCTTGTCAATGTCTCGTCTTCGCGATCCAGTGGAATACGTCTTTAAGGCAAAGCATCGATGGACTGGTCATATAATGAGAAGAGCAGACGACAGATGGACCCTAAAAACCCTGAAATGGTTCCTCGCGAAGCAAAACTTCCTCGAGGGAGGCCATCGACCAAATGGTCTGACGTGTTCGTTACGCGAATGGACGAGCTGAATTGTCAGCTGGTAACGAGTAATGGATCTGGACCTTGCGAACGTCGCAGCCGCAGTTCGATACCAACGTCGTGGATGAAGCTAGCGAGAGAAAGAAACGGTTGGAAACAGTGCAGTGGCCTGCACGACAAATGAAGACAGACCATCCAAGTATTGAGTATTTCTTTGAAATGGAGTAAAATGTAAAGTTATCTTCTGTCCTAATTCGTTTGATGGATTCTTTGAACAACTTTGCAGTGGATTTATTTGTCACAGCTTATATTGCTAAGCAGCTGTTAATGGAATTAGTGTTGTGCACTAAGAATGTCTTTCCACTTATGATGCTTGATGTAGTGGGCAAATAAGTAAGTGATATGTATCATTCTTTCATTGGATCATAATAGACACATATTTTATTACAAAAGTTGGGACAATTAGACAACTACACGTATTTTTAAGCATTGAAATGAATAACTGATAACTAAATTAATCCTCAACAACGACAAGCTGTATATGCCCGATCTTGTGGGAGAAGCTACACGTTATAGTACGGGGACGCAGCTGAAGTTTGCAATTCCACCTGAGAGATCTTGTAACGGACTTTCTTCAGCCAGTCGGAAAGAGGAGGTGGCGACAACGAAGGCTGATTCTCGCATGAGTCGAGTTTGATCCTAAACAGTAGCAATTCATTACTCGAGAGCATCCACTCAAGATGAATTTAAAAAATTCGGTTCTAGTAATTTGATTCATGATGTTTTGTCAGACTAATCAGGTGATAACAATGCTAACCTCAGCTGATTAGGGATTTGGCTGTGATAAGCAGTGAGAATCGGAGCCCACATGGGATACAGTTGGCATAACAGAGCGGAGTTTACTTGCTGCAGCGCTTGAATGGTATTGAGGAAATGGAGATTGACCATGTCAGCCAACTGAAAATCGAGCACTCATATAAAGTGCATGAAATATGCTCTCCTCATTGGGAAGGCAATTATCAAAACCTACCACTTTTGAATGGCTTAGCAGCTGTAGTATGGCTGGAGTGACTCT